TCTGAACCCAAGAAAGCATGGAAGCAGTTGAATCACATGCCTGCAATAAGGCTTTATAAGTACTGAAAGCATGTCAGTATCCTGTGCATGGATCTGCACTGTGTCTGAATAAGTTACGCTGGGGCAGCCGGCTGCCTGCTTACATTGTGGACATCAGTAGATGTACTGCTGTGAATGTAGCCACTAGCTTCAAGGCCAGTGTGTCTAAATGTGGACTTTTATAAGAAAGCTTAGGTGAACTGAATAATACATTGACTACAGGTGGGGTTCTGGCTGCATAGAAGATGGAGATCTTTGTATGCACTCTCCGAAAGCTTTTTTAACCTACTCTTATCTGCTTTGGCCTCTGGCTTCCTTTTTTTTAACCTCCTCTTCCCTCCCCCATGCTATGTTAAGTATTACAAAAGTAAAAGGGTCAAGCTGCTAAAAAGGGATCATTCATAAGTGACATTTGTTTCCCCAACTAACCCATCCCTCAAGAGGTTTCTGAGTGCACCAAGCCTAAATGCTCTAGTGTGGCAAGTGAGCTGCTCCTTTAATAGCATAAAAACACAATGGGAAAGGCTGGCCTCTGGCAGTTTTTGTTTTGTTTTTGCCCTGGGAAATGTATTTGATTAGGAGACAGAGAGAATAAAAATAGGGCATTAATATGATACTGTCTGTTTTATCTAATAATATTCCTGGAAAATTGTCATCCTTTCTGATTGGAACAACAGCAAAAATAGAGGCAAGCTCTTCTCTACAGTTCCTATTAATATGATAAAGTAGGCAGAGCTTTAAATGCAAGTTCAGATTTTGGGATGAAAGTTAAGGAAGTTATTAGCAAAATTCCTTGGTAACCACAAGTACGGGGTGTGCCTGATCATAGACCCAAAAGCACCATAATTAAAGGATGTTTTCCCTCCTCTGATTATTAATGTAAAACGTTGGCCTGTTAATGTGTGTTACTGAAGTTCTTAAAGGGCCTGATTCTGCCATTCTAATTCACCTTTGACTAGTATCAAACTCCCTTGAAATCAATGTCTCTGTCTGCATAGTAGAGTGCTACTCAACATGTGTATGGGTAGCAGCATCAGGAATTCAGGGATGAGAAGTCTGTGTGAAGAGCGTGTAATTTTCCCTCGCCCTTCAGTAGGTTCATTTAAGCTGGCTTCACTGGTAGGCACATGGAAAAGTAGCTCACTTTGGATGAGTGAGGTAAATGAGGACGGTAGAATCTCCGTGTTGGTTTTTCTTGTTTTTTCCCCCTTTCCTAATAAATCAGGCCACAAATGAAAATCAGCATGAAGGGCTGTGTCCCTGGGAATGCCTATATCATTATTTCTTAAATGAAAATAATTCTCCTATAAAGCTCCATGTAACATACACAGAACAATACAACCACCACAAAACCCCCAAACAACAACAAGAACCCAACTTGAGATTTTTAACGGGAAAGGGAGATTTGTTTATTAATAATTCATGAGTTCTCATTGAACATGCACGAAGAAACGGTGCTATTCAATAGAGAATACTGTCATCTGTCACTGTTTTATTTGACATTTACACTTTTTTTTTCTTTTTGCCTGGTACTGCAAAACTTCCGTGGATGGCACGCTAAGATTGTTTAATTGAATAAAAAAATTCCAAAAACCCAATACACACTTTTCATCTTTACCTAGAGGAAGCTTACTTGCAGTTAAAAAGAGGTGACTATGTTTGTGTGAAGGCTTAGTGTTTTTTCACCTATTAGCCATGCTACTAACTAATCACAGATACTGTAGACAGATAGATAGTGCCAAATAGATGCGCAAGTGAATGAATACTTGAATAAATAGATGAAGGGATAGAAGAAGAATGGGTGAAAGGATAGTCTTGCTGCAGATAAGTGTACAAACACACAGAGAGTGAAGGGGGAGGAACAAATAATGGCTGTTGTGAAGAAAGCTGACAAATAAATTGGCATTTCTGATGCAAAATAAATATTTATAAATGGCATTGGAGAGAAATCCAGTAGTATAAAACGTACGTGTAAATAAGGCATTTAGCACAACAATTGAGAGTTAGAAGCACCTTGCAATTTCTTGCTAATATTAGGCTCATGAAAAGCTTTCTGCTCTGTAGGTTAGTTATTATTTATAAAAATCACAGAACCAGCTGATACATTCATAAGCTAATTATTGTAGCAGCTGGGTACACATGGTGCAATATGTCTGAGGCTGTGAAGTATCACAGATTTCTTGGGGCCTGCTGTGGGGAGTGTGCTGTGGAAGGCTAGATCCCTTAATCTGATCAGCCAAGCAAATACTTTGTGGGGAAACTGGATTAATATTCCTCTAAATACCATGAATGTGCTGTACTCTCAGAACTGGGCTCTCTTAAACACGCCATTAGCTTATCTCCACTGGGGAATTGAGAAGTTCTCAGGTGTCCTAAGGACAGGGTCTTTTCCTGGTGCCTCCCTTTGCCAGAAATTAATTTGGTTTGCTCATGTCTGCACACATGGTCATACTGCAGTCTAATCCTCTCCCTAATAGCTCCAAGGTCAGGACCTCGCATGTTGCTGGGCAAATTGAGCACTATCCTTCTTAAAGGCTAATGGCAGAGAGCACACAGTCCATAATGAGGCCTGTAGTGTTACTCTAAGTGATTGTAATGGGCACAGATTGTAACAGTGCATATAAATCAAAATGCAGCAATGAATATTGTGGTAGGTATTCCTAGTTTCATACATGGTGATGGTGTCACTCAGCTGTCACCTGTCTCATTTCATATTGGAGTGTCCCACAATGCAACTCCTGCCTCAACCAGAACAGCAGCTGTTCTTGTCCTTAAGGTCTGTATCTCTCAGAATTCTTGTCTTTTAACAGATGTAGGTTTTTGTTTTTATTTTCTGTTTAATGATTGGTCTTCATGCTACGGCGACCCGTGGGAGATGTTAAACATACCTTCTTGGAACATTTGAAAGCGTCCAGTTGGATACTTATTCAGATCCGAAAAAAGGATGGAACTTATTCTTTCCACAGATGGTTTATTTTCCATTTCAAAAATTATTTCCTTTGTACAAAGAAACCCCTGAGAAAATACTTTGGGTCTGGAAGGTGTTCTTTTTCTTTTCTTTTCTTTTCTTTTCTTTTCTTTTCTTTTCTTTTCTTTTCTTTTCTTTTCTTTTCAAGACACAAAGTTTTGGGTATTATTTTGGATGGAGGGGAGAAGCACTAGAAGTTCAGCCATCACCAGGCGGTAAAGTTAACTAAAAACTAAGAACAGTAATATATATATATATTTCCCAATAAAATTATTAAATATCTTGTTTTCATCTCTCTGCCCCCCCC